GGGGGGGTGTCCGACTTACACATTACTGCTGGGCAGAATCTGCTCTCGGGGCCTCTTGGTCAGTGTAAACTTGCGGAAGAAGAAGCGGAACTTCAGCTTGTGTCTGGCGGAATTGCTGGGACGACAGAGACCTTCAAGTTTGTTTCTTATCGGGCTGAACGATTTTTTAAAAAAAGATCACGCAGAATGAAGAGGTCGTCTTGATAGCTACCATTGTGCTCGGGGCGTGGCCGCCCTCGCCTCCTCCCTGTAGTCTTTGATCCCGTCTTCGTCGTCATCGTCTTCCCGGTCGCTCGGTATCTGCTCCCACAGCGCGTTGTCAACCCACAGCGCCTCCTGCAGGCTGAGGCCCCGCCGCACGCAGGTGACGCGGCGGCACAGTGGGCAGCGCACGCTCAGCGCCGGCCCAACGCCTCCCGGCGCCGAGCGCGCCGCCATGGCCTCCAGGCAGGTCTGGCAGAAGGTGTGCTGGCAGTGCAGCAGCCGAGGGACGCGCTCCGCCCGGGAGAAGGCCAGCAGGCAAACGCTGCAGTCGCCCTCGCCGCACAGCACCATGGAGGACCCCCTGGCGACGCCTCTCTGCAGGGGCGCAAGATGATGTTAACGGCGTCCATCCCACCTGGACTTGTCACCGGCCGATCACAATGCACAAAGAGACAACCATTGACACGCATTCACATCGATGGACAATTTGAGTCTTTTGGAAAGTGTGAGGAGGCCAGAGAACCTGGAGAGAACCCACGGAAAGTACGGGTATTCTCCAGGTACTCTGGCAAACATACAAATTCCTCAAAGAAAGGCCGGATTGTTTTGACGTTTTTCAACTCAGCATAGAACAGGACTGAAGGTCCTAAAGTGTAGCAAAGAGCTACACACTGACGTTTGATCAGCACTTCAGCACCAGAAGCGACGACTGGGTGAGTAGTTTTGATTTATTTCGCTTTTACTTTACAGCCGCTCACTGATTTTAACCCTTTCAGGGACAGCAGTTACTGTAACCTACACGTTATCCTGAATTGGTGCATGAAAGGGTTAAAACACACCTGTAAGTATTTTGTTTGATGTACTTTCATGGTTGAATTTATGATGACACTTTTATCACCGCTTTTAATTGTTGAACTTATTTTGACACTTTTTATGACCTTTCGGAAGGATAAAAGAAACACAAAAAAATGTGATGCAGGAAATCCAGCAGCACTTCCTTGTTACTGTAAATGATATGCTTGGATGGGTTGATTGTTTTTTTTTTTTATTTCCTGATACTGTGGTTCACTTATTCGTACTCTTGTTTTCAGTCATAAACAGTAAAACAGTCAGAAAATGTTGACAAAAATGCTACAATAGATGGCATAAATGTGTATTGCATATACATTTCTACAAATAAAAAATATATAGAATCATAGATACAATTAGAAATATTATAAAATATATACAATATATTGTACATTAGTTTTTTTTTTTGTTTGTTTTTTTGCAGCCAAAAAAGACCGTGTATACTAAGGCGTTTTGTGAATTCTTCCTTGGTGTGAGTGTGAGTGCGAAAGGTTGTGCGGAGAATAGGATCAGAAAATCGGTGGCCACGCATGTTTTTGAGAATACACAGACACATTTATTGACACTATTATGTACTTACTCATATTTGTAAAAAAAAAAAAAAAAATTGCAGTAAAAAGACTGGATGATAAATCTCACATTTTTGCACTAAGGTATGACGGTGTCAATTGCCGTGATTTTTATGACTTGAATTCCAAAATGTCCATTCATTCTATTTTCCAACAATCCCATAAGGCTTTACTCTTATTTACGACCCAGCAAGTTGCACACAGTGCGTCCGTCACCAACAAAGAGGAAAAACAACAACAACAAAGCACGTACTTACAGCAGAGTAGTAGAACTCAAAATATCAACCGCGAGAGTGAGTCGCTTGCTGCCGAGGGAGGTTTTGCCTTATGAATGAAGGCGGCGCAGCTTGTTTCTTTGCTATTGTTGGGATTGTGGGGGCGGATCCCGGTTGCCTGCTGTAACGTCTGCAGAGAGCAGCTGTGGAAGCAGGCGGCCCGGAGGAGGCGGCCTGTCCTTTGTCAAGAGCAGCTGGACGACAGACAACGGCGGTTTTGAAACGTCGGGGATGCTGAAATGAGCTGAGACAGATTGGATGGGGGAAATATTTACGTGGGAAGGGTAAAAGAGTGGGCTCGTCCGGGATTTGAACCCGGGACCTCTCGCACCCAAAGCGAGAATCATACCCCTAGACCAACGAGCCGCCCTGCCACATACCCAAATAAAAAAATCTATATCCTTTTCAAATGCGAGCTACTGGTTTTTTTGGGGGGCTGGGGGGTTCCTTCAAGACGGTGCAAGGACCAAGGCAAGACATCCCAAGCCTGCACATGCTGTCCTGACTGCGTTACATTTAATTGAATAAAAGCCGACCGTGGCTTTGATATGCTTCGGGATTTGCTGTGTTTCAACTTCATCCGTGCCCACGTAATGGTGGCATGAAGCTTTCCCAGCAGGTGTTTGGGGCACGCAACGGTTGAGGTCAAAGTGGTCCTGATTGCGCGGAAGGGAGGTTGACGCTGTCCACCCCCGTCAGACGTTCACCCGTTTGGAAGCTGAAATGATCACTTCCATTGCCATGGTGAAGGCGAGAGGGAAAACTAGACAATATTCCCACTTCCAAAGATTGCCGTGACGTCGCGTATTCTGTTGTTTGGACACAGAATTGCAGATGGCGGAAGTAGTTTCTCACCAGGTTTGTGACGGTCTTTGGGAGGTGGATGAAGTTGAAGGCTGTCCAAGTGACAGAATGGGGGACGGATCCAAAAGTGTTGCCAAGGTCCAGGAATCGGATGTCCCGGTGTCTTTGATTACACTCTGTGTTGACACACGCAGCTTTTGTACCAAGAAACCACCACAAATTATGCTTGTACTCATTCCAGTCACACCAGAGAAGCAAATCAACCGGTTTTATGGAATTGGAGTGGCCACCCTTGAGTGTTGATTCCTTGGCGAGGTGAGGAACCAAAACCTCGGGCTCGTCCGGGATTTGAACCCGGGACCTCTCGCACCCAAAGCGAGAATCATACCCCTAGACCAACGAGCCACATATCCTTCAGTAAAATTTAGTAACTTTATGTCCTTTCAACTGCGATGTTTTTGCTTCAGGATGGAGGCAAGGACGAAGGTAAGCCACCGCAAGCCTGTCCACACTCGGGTCCTGACTAGATTGAAGAAATGCTAATTGAATAAAAATCTGGTATGTCATTGGGTCTCAAAGCAAACACGGTGAAGCAGCATTTAGCTGTTCTGCTCCACGCCAGTGGAAGAAGCTGCCAACGGAAGTGAAGTCAAGCCCAAGTGTCAATGCTTTGAAGCCTATCCCATTTGTCTTCGAGCAGTCGGCGGGGTACGCCCAGAACTGGTCGCCAGCCAATCCCAGGACACAAAGACAAACAACCATTCCTGCTCACAATCACACGGAGGGACAATTGAGAGTTTTACGTTTACATGCCAGACATGTTTTTGGAATGTGGGAGGAAACCTGGAGAAAAGCCACGCATGCAAAGGGAGACCATGCAAACCCCACACAGGAAGTGTTGACTCCTTGGCTCAGAAACACTAAAACTGGGCTCGTCCGGGATTTGAACCCGGGACCTCTCGCACCCAAAGCGAGAATCATACCCCTAGACCAACGAGCCAGCTGTCATTAGCACAATTAATTAAATCTATATCCTTTCAACTGCTCAGTGTTGTCAATAATTGCAGTTGGTCTGGTGGTGTCTGCTTCAGGGCGGAGCAAGGACAAAGGCGAGCCACCACAAGCGTGTCCATACTTGAGTTCTGACTACATTGAAGAAATGCTCATTTCTGGTTTCAAAGCAAACATGGTGAAGCAGCTGGCAACGGAAGGGAAGTCAGCCCCGAGTGTAAATGCTTAAGGAACCAAAACTGGGCTCGTCCGGGATTTGAACCCGGGACCTCGCGCACCCAAAGCGAGAATCATACCCCTAGACCAACGAGCCAACCTGCTTTAACAACAATTAATTACATCTGTATTCTTTCAACTGCGATAATTTGTCCGACTGGGTGGCGCCCAGCTCTTCAAGCAAACACGGTGAAGCAGCATTTAGCTGTTATGCTCCACCCCAGTGGAATAAGCTGCCAACAGAAGTGAAGTCGGCCGCAAGTGTAAATGCTTTGAAGCTTGGAGGCAATCCAACGGGGCATCTCGATCAAGACCAAGTTGAAGGTTTACCGTGCCGTGGTGCTGCCGTCTCTGCTGTACGGCTGCGAGACATGGACTTGTTACAGGCGGCACATCAAGAAGCTGGATCATTTCCACCTGCGCTGCCTTCGCAAACTTCTCCGCATTGACTGGAAGGACCAGATACCCAACCAGGAGGTCCTTCGGAGGGCTGAGACCACTGGCATCGAAGCCATGCTGAACCAGTCACAGCTTCGCTGGTCAGGCCACGTCACTCGCATGGATGACAGCAGACTCCCTAAACAACTGTTCCATGCTGAGCTGTCAACTGGGAAACGGCATACAGGGGGGCAGAGGAAGCGTTATAAAGACGTTCTAAAGTCAACCCTCAAGGCCTACGGCATCCCAGTTGACCAATGGCAAACCCTATCCCAGGACAGACCGGCCTGGAGGGCATCCATTCGCAAAGGCACAAAACAGTTTGAAAGAAACCGGCTACAGAGCCTGGATGACAAAAGGCTGGCCCGGAAAAACAGAGTGCTTAATCCCAACACTGCTGTATCCTGTCAGCTCTGCGGCAAGAGCTGCGCATCCACATTTGGGCTGCAAGCTCATATGCGCAAACACCAACACCAACACTGACGTGTCATCTTCGACCTTTCGAAGGACTACCATGATGGAGGCAATCCCAGGTGTCTTTGGGTAGTAGGCGGGGTACACCCTGAACCGGTTGCAAGCTAATCGCAGGACACACAAAGACAAAGAACCATTCACGGTCACAATCACACCAAGGGACAATTTAGAGTGTTCCATTGACATGCCAGACATGTTTTTGGAGTGTGGGAGGAACGCCGGAGAAATCCCTCGCTTGCACAGGGAGAAGATGCAAATCCCACACAGCAAGCGTTGACGACTTGGCTCTGGGAAACACTAAAACTGGGCTCGTCCGGGATTTGAACCCGGGACCTCTCGCACCCAAAGCGAGAATCATACCCCTAGACCAACGAGCCACCTGTCTAGTTTAAAAGTGAAATCCTCTATATCCTTTCAACTGCTAAGTGTTTGCGGATCTCACATGGTTTTCGTGGTGTTTGCTTCAGGACGGAGCAAGGATGAAGGCAAGCGACCGCAAGCCTGTCCACACTCGGGTCCTGACGAGATTGAAGAAATGCTAATTGAATAAAAACCTAGCATGTCTTTGGGTCTCAAAGCAAACACGTTGAAGCAGCATTTAGCTGTTCTGCTCCACGCCAGTGAAAGAAGCTGCCAACGGGAGTGAAGTCAACCCCAAGTGTAAATGCTTTGAAGCCTATCCCATTTGTCTTCGAGCAGTTGGCGGGGTACACCCAGAACTGGTCGCCAGCCAATCGCAGGACACACAAAGACAAACAACCATTCACGCTCACAATCACACGTAGAGACAATTTAGAGTGTTCCACTGACATGCCAGACATGTTTTTGGAATGTGGGAGGAAACCCAGAGAAAACGCACGCATGCACCGGGAAAACATGCACACCCCACACGGGAAGTATTGACTCCTGAGCTCAGGGAGGAACCAAAACTGGGCTCGTCCGGGATTTGAACCCGGGACCTCTCGCACCCAAAGCGAGAATCATACCCCTAGACCACGGGTGTCGAAGTCCGGTCCTCGAGGGCCGGTGTCCTGCATGTTTTCCATCCCTCCCTGCTGCAACACACCTGATTCAAATGATCAGGATCACTATCAGGCTCCGATAGAGCTTGCTGATGAGCTGTTCATTTGGATCAGGTGTGTTGCAGCAGGGAGGGATGGAAAACATGCAGGACACCGGCCCTCGAGGACCGGACTTCGACACCTGTGCCCTAGACCAACGAGCCACCCGTCTAAATTAAGAGTTTAGTACTCTATATCCTTTCAACTGCTAAGTGTTGCCAAGGACGGCACTTGATTTTGTGGTGTTTGCTTCAGGGCGGAGCAAGGACAAAGGCGAACCACCACAAGTGTGTCCATACTTGAGTCCAGACTACATTGAAGAAACTCTAGTATGTCTTTGAGGACTGCAGATTCAGCCCAGGTCTCAAAGCAATACATGGTGAAGCAGCATTTAGCTGTTCTGCTCCACGCCAGTGGAAGAAGCTGCCAACGGAAGTGAAGTCAAGCCCAAGTGTCAATGCTTTGAAGCCTATCCCATTTGTCTTCGAGCAGTCGGCGGGGTAC